TTCTGTGTATTCTAGTCATCACAAAGGATCTCATACTTCGACTCCAATTCCTAAGACAATTGGAACGCAGTGCGCGCAGTATTTCCAACTCATTGCTGAAAAGCATGTTTTCATGGTATTCCCAGCTCATTTCTAAATACATTACCTCCACCGCAGCCCGCAGCAAACCTGCAAACTAAGTAATTTTCAATTTGTTTGATTGGATTCTTACTAAAATTGTCCATAAACAAGACATATTTATTCCCCATTTAAATAACATTAGATTTAACAAACACCTAGGGTTTACTGCTACGGCGAAGTTAAAAAGTGTTTTATTTTTGCAAAATATTAATAGTATAGGATGAAATCAATAAAATCGCCAAATATGATCAATATATACACAATTGTGTTTTATTTATACTTCAGGACACGTATCCTGTTGTGCTATTATTTGCATTAGATTACATAATCACAACATTTCTTATTGTGCAATTTTGACGATGCCTACCTATACCTTGGTATATTTATAAACTGAAAACTTCAAATCTAATGATAAAATATGTGTTTATCGAGTTCTTTAATACCAGTAATTCACTATAACGGGTTAAGAGCATTCATATAATACATTTAGTAAGAAACATTTTACATTCCATTGCAATCTTAATCCTTTAGAACATATTATTTAATTATTTCTGACTTCATCGGTAGTTAAATGACTTTTTCTATTGATACTTGATTTAAATAAGTGCAAAGTTAGTATGGCCTAAGTTATGAGCTAAGTAAAAGTGTTGTGTTTCAAAATCGTCACTGTGATGAGTGAGGGATATTCTCATTCCCGTTTCTCCCTGCACGTTGCCAAACCAACCTCCCCTTCCTGAGGAATCCGCCGTGGCAGTTTCAGTGTTTCTAGCATTCTCAAAAACACCCTTATAATCCTCACTAATTGGCGTGGCAGTTTCGGTATGGATTATGATCATAAAACGTCGTGGCAGTTTCGGTACAGCCTGGTCCGTGACCGTGCCAATAAGCCAGCGTTTGGTTGTTATAACCCAATTATCTATCTCCAGTAAGAGACACAACTCTCGGCTTTTACAAGAAAATAAATAGTTAAACGTTTTCCATATACCATTGAGTGAGGGAATACTAGTACGGTAGTCTAGTACGAACTACCTGAAAATCACTGCGAGTGTCAAGTGATGAAACTGTCTCTAAGTCAAATACCAAGGCTTTATATCGAAAAAAGAAATTAAAATTTATAGCTGACTATTTTCTTTTCGGAGTTGAATATTTTTTTTCTAATCTATATATATAATTCCGTAAGTCAAATTTTTGTAAAGAAATTGTGAGTGACTGGATGGCCGTAGAAGGATGGGAGGGGTCTTATTTTAAAGGTCTTGACGTGAATTTTGAGGGAAAACTATTCATTTTTCTTAATTATGCACCAAAAAAGGTTATTACGGAATAAATTAATTCACATTTAAATAGCACGGGAATCTAAGTCATGTCTGCTTTGTTTACTTTAAAACATGTGGTTTAACTTTATTTACAGCATATGGTAATATTTGTAATATGTACTGTGCATGGTGGAAGGAAAAAACATAGGTGTGCTATTCCCGTCATATTCTGACGTCACTCGGATTGCAAACAAAAGATCACCTGATTGTAACTGTCAAATTAGTATGTATTTGTTTTGATTTGATTGTTATTGTTTTTTTTACTTTGTATACTATTATAAAGCTTAAATATACTTTTTTCCCAATTTTAAGGGTCTAAATTAGTTAATGGAGTACGATTGGTTGTGTTAGCCATGTCCGAAAATAGTGTAAAGTTAGAAGGAATTACTGGAGTAGGCAAAGGGAACATATTTTTCATGCCAAAAATAAAACTAATATCAACCAATCCGAGATTAAATTTTCTCTTAAAAAATCGCTGTTACTATAAATAAAGCGCAAGGCCAAACCTTCACAAAAGTTGGCAATAAAAAAAAAAAAACAGTGTTTACCCAGTGGTCAACTTTACGTTACTTTTAGCCGGGTGATTTTGCATTTTACAATTTGGAGGATGACATTACCTCTATGTGTTTTTTCGAAGTGAATTTGTATATGTTCAAAGAAACTTATATAGATTTAATAGTCATGAAAATTACTATTGAACATGTTCCTTAGTTGTATTATGATTAGAAAGTTTATATTATAAACACACTGCATGAACAGTCCTTTGGAATTTTTATTTTAAACAGAGCAGACATCAAAATGCTTTATGCAGCTATGTAATGACTAACTATCATACATATTATAACAAATAAAAATTTTAAACAATAATTCAAGGTAGAGGATAACCCATGAGACTAATAATTTGTACAAAATACTAACTAGAATAATAGGGGCCACTAGTTTTTATACAGTTTAAATAGTTAAAAATATTAGTAAATAAGTTAACAACGATGGATTGAGTATGTACGATTACAGTGCCATCTAGTAGTTACTATATAGGTTAACTGTTGTGAGCCAGTGAGCCTCGACGGTCAGGGCTAGAGACATACACCTCGACGGTACATCTAGTGGTGAATAGGCGAACTGTTGCGAGCCTCGACGGTAGTTACATCTAGCGGTGTTTGAGCGAACTATTATCAAAACAAAAACATATTTTTTCATTAATTACAAAACAAAATAATAGAAGGCTCATGAAACATACAGAAACATGCTTCAAATTTAATATAGGATGATACATCAACTTGCCAAATTCAAAGCAAATGTTCGTACTAAGTTAGATTACTGCCTTTTATCAACTATTTTTTTACCTGTTAGCGTACGATTTTAGAAATTGCAAAAATTATTATTCACAAATTTCTTTGATCTGCATGAGAGGAATAAGTAACCATAAAGGTTCAATATCGCCACCTCTCGCACTGTAAGCTGAGAGGTCAAGACTTTTAATACTTTTCAGTGAAATGGCGACCATACAAAGTAGGTATTTTAAGCCAAGTACGAATGGAGATGAGTGTAGGATGAGTGGCGCGATCTTGTAGTCTTGTTAGTGACTAAGGCAGACCTATTCCTTAGACACAGCTATTAATTATAGCATAGACAAAAATAATTTTAATAGCCCATACAGCTAATGGCAACCAAGGGTCCAGGGTCCTACAGTTTATAGTGACATCCGAACCACATTCTTGCCTTGGTATTAACGAATTGGTCTAATTATCAGGATAGTACTGCGGATAGTACTGCGCAGGAGTAGTCCTATAGTACTCACTAGTGCGCACGTTAATCCACACCACTATCAGTAGATCGATCCATCGATTAATTGAGCAGCATTCATGTTATTTTTTGCAGTTTCTTAAATGCTTTTTAACAACCATCAGAAACTAGACTTCAGAGAGGGGTGTTTGACAACGAGTATTTTATTGCAAATTATCTTCAATTCGGTAGCTAGATTTGATTCGTATCAATACATAGATTCGTTTTGATTACGTAGAGAAAAGTCTGTGAAAATCGTATTAGGTAATGTTAGATTACCTAACCATCATATACATAAAAATAGAATCTACTGAAAACAATCTACATGTTTAACCCTATTTAAAACTAAATACTCCATAACTTACACATACTAGGGGGTAGGAGTATATTTTAGCACAAACTTATCATTAACTTCACTAGTTTAGTACACACAACTATACACTGGTGCACACCAACCTTAAACTTTCTCTGAAGAGTAATCTACAATACTCCTGGAGTAAAACACTCCTGATGTTAGAATACTAAAATAGTTTATATAGCAAATGCAGTCACTATTTTCCTACTACTTTAGTTATATAGCCTACTATATTAGTTTGACTTTCTCCTGTTTGGCGCTCGTCACCCTTAGTCAGGGTCGAACCGGAGACTTTATGATAATTAGAGGAGCGGTATGACCACTTATATCAAGCTGAGAGCTTATTAACTCAACAACTTTACATTTTAATGATGCGTAATAAGTTTTCAAGAACCAATTGACTTCATATGTTATATGTCCGTGGTTATGTCAATATAGTTGTCAAAGGGATTAATTGTTTTAAATCCCAAAGTTTCTGTGTGGTTTTAAAATACGTTGACTTTTTAACTAAAATGAGTATACACTCGTGGGAGAAGTTTCTCTGGGAGAGCTAAAAACTGTTAACATTTTTTTATCAAGTGAAATTGCAATTACATAAATACAATCCTAACGTTTAAATAACACGTGAAGAAAATTGCTATACACATTACAGCTCACAGGGCCAAGACGAGTTCTAGGTTATTTCGTGTGGAACAGGTCCTCCGGAAACGGATGGAAGACTCTGTTATCAGCTGTTATCTCACGATGTCGTGCTGCCTGGACTGTATCAACATCGTGGACTGTACTTTCCCTACAGGTCCATCGATGTCTGTAGAAAACACAACACAGCTTCTGCGATTCAAGCATTGGCCGCTTCAAGCAGGACATAAGAAAGCAACTTGAAATAATAAATGTTAGATTTTGCTGCGGAGATATGAGATATACGACAAACTGTGAGTGTTAGAAGAACACTAGATACATTTTTCTTATGGAAGAAACAGTTTAATGAGACGATAGTATATAGATTAACGCAATATTTAATGGTAAGTAGAAAAACACAAAAACTTCGGTAATTTTCATGTTATATTCTCAGAATAATACACAGAATATGATATAAGATAACAGGATAGGATAGTAGGTAGCATCATTGACTATTAATACAATAGTCCACGGTCACAGCCAACAGCATAATTAAATGCGATACCAAGACTGATATTGAACGCAAAAACGCCTTTTTTTAGAGCGAAATAATCATGTAATAATAGGCAAGAACGTTGGTTTTAAGTTAATTTGCATTTGATTTTGTTCTAATATAAAGTAAAATTATTAAAACTTCTGTGATAACTTCGAACGCAGTAATATTTGGTCCATCTAAGTATGCAATTCACTTTGTATCTTGAAATAATATTCAAAAAAGGGGTAAAATTCTGTCAAGGTGAAGTACACTGAAATGTCTAAACTTTTTATTGAAATATTAAGTGTACCTATATGATTTTTTACAAATATCACGCGACTCTACCAAAAGACGTTTGAATGAAAATAATTGTTTAAGATTAAGAAATTTATTTGATATCTAGGCCTACAAAAGCCAACAAACACACTGAAGCAAAATATTAAGTCTTAATACCAGTAACACTAAACTTGTGAACTTCACTCCCAGAACCAACGAGAACGTTTCTTCCAGTCGCCCTTCTCATAGTCCCAGTTGGAAGCAAGACCCTCCACGGGGTTCACACTCATGTCGATCATCCTCTGAAGCTGGGCTTGCTGCCGCTCCACCTCCATCGTCGGCGGAAGAGGTGGCAGCACGAACTTCTTGATAAACATCGCTATCCAAATAGCGATGGAGACGAAACCCAGAGTACAACCGATGATACTCTTCCATTCCCCCGTCGGAGCTTCCATCTCTGCGAATGTCTGACAGAAACTTGCTCTGTAGAGGCATTTCTTCTCGTCAATGCTCAACGACTTCCAATCTCCCTTTTCCTTTTCCCGCAACGCTTGCAGGTAAGGGTTATCTGGTAATGCCCCCAGTACACTCTCGCCGAGACGTTCGCCGAGGCGCCTCGCCGAGGCGTTCGCCGAGTAATTCGGGCGAGAGCTTATGCGAGGTAACCGTGTACACTCTCGCGTTGTCTCGCAGTCGAAATGGAGGCAAACGTCGATGTGGAAGTAGCAACATTAAAATTGTTTTGTGCATATGCTTATTTTAATTGTTTACGCGTACTTTTTCTTCAATTCGGTTACTGGACGGTTGAGTTTTACGCTCTAACGGCACCAAGCATCTGTTAGTTTACGTTCGTCCTTGTGTTGTACGTGTGTTGGGTCCCACAATAACGACTCACCATGGTAGGCTTCTAAAAAGTCAAGAACTGTGTTATTTGACCAATCCATGTTTACTTTAACACAAAATGCACCCACAAACTAACAACGCACAGCTGAACTAACCACGAGACAAGGCGAGAGTGAACTGGGGTGCCTCGCGCTCGCCACTCGCTCAGTCTCGGGTCCTTTGACTCGTGTCAAAAAACCGACTCCAGACGGAGCGTCGGCGAGCACGAGGCGAGGCGAGGCGAGGCGACCCGAGTCAAGGCAAGACAAGACGAGCGCACCGAGTACACTCTCGCACTCGCCAACGCTCGCCTTGTCTCGGCGAGAGTGTACTGGGGGCATAAGAAGCGTATCGCCGGACAAGGAAAGTCCTGGCGGTCGAAGTATATCGGCTTGTTGTTCATCCCTGGACCGACGACTTCCCTGCAACCTATCACTTCTCGTTCTTGAGCGGGGATTGAATAACGTCTGGCGTGTTTGGCGATACGGTTAATAGATTTGGCTAAGGTTAACATTGTAAATCACTACGGTAAACTGTTTTGCAAATAATCTTCTCAAAAATTGACATTCATTCACCAAAACAAAAACATAATTAGATAGATCAGCTGACTAACAATGAACTTAATTAAATAAGCTTGTACGTACAGTACTCAATGGTGTGATCGGAATAACTAATTCATTTGTAAACAGCTGATTATAATATAAATCATTGACTTTGAATAATGCACGTAGACTAAAATCTGAAGCATATTTTGATCAGTGTTTCATGTTTTGTTTCCTGAGTATATTATTGTAAAATGTGTGCTTTACGCCTTGCTATAATACCACAGGAAAGAGGAAAATGTTGAATAACGTTGATAAATAGCTTATTGATTATCATTTTACGTAAGAACTACTAGGAACACGATAAAAAATATAGTTTTACAGTAAGTGAAATAACATTAAATAAACTATGAGAAACAATGGTTAAATACATACCTTGTCAAAAAATCCTCGACGTGTATAGAAGCGTGTAGTAAAATTTGCTTTCCTCCGCCATCAGTCTAACCAAAAATCGACTTCTAACCAGAATAAGTTAAACATAGTTTACACATAATATAATAACTAAACATATCACAGAAAGGCCTATTATATAAGTCGCCGAGAGTGCATTTCGGCGGGTAGGACATTTTTCGGCGGAGGAGGAATGTGACAAATAAGATAATATTTTTAAGTCCATAATAGCGTTTTTAATTCACACATAACTTTTCCTACAGTCGTCGATGTGTGTGCTTTGACATTTCATTTCATTGAATGATGAGAACATTTGAGGCTGTTCTAGAACTAGGTTCTCTTCCTTCCGCATTGAGAAGACGAGGACTAAACTATACTGTTTTGCCTGGGTAAGAAATCGGTGTATGCGACATAAATAAATAACTAACATCAGCGCTGTTGTTGGCTCAATTACTTTCAACTTTACCATGGAAATTGAGTGTCTGTTCTACCCATAGTCAAAAGTAGAATATTGGTTTCGGCTGACCCATATTCATGATGTAGCCCCCGAACTGGTTAACTAGACAAAAAATAAGAAGGCCACGGTATGGAGGCGGACTGTTATTTTTTCGTGCGTTATGGCTTTCGTGTATTTGTTTGAATGGTTTTTGACTACTTTATTTATAATGGATGAATCACTCTTGTTAGTTCACCAGACGATGCCTGAATAAGTAGGCGAAACAGTGAGTTTGACTGCCAAATTTAAACTGTTGACGTAAAGTATGTGCCTTAAATTTGTCTGGCCCATATAGTGATACGTTGTTCAGTATCCAAACGTCAATGAAGCTTTAGTACTGTACTTACACACAGGCACACACACTTAACACTCTGGCTGTATATTTTTGTGATGTTATATTTTCATGGTTTATTTTGTTCTATCGTGCCCTTTTCTCTTATTTTGTACATGTTGAAGCATGCTATGCAATCATTGTATTGTCTGAAGCAATAACAAATATTATTATTATTATTACTTACGTTGCGTATTATACCGCGACCTCGCCGATAAATCGACTTCCACATAAGATCTTAATTAGTTTAAATAACATAGTCTTGCTAACCTAACCTAACCACCATTTAGGCGTGGTTGGTACCGCTGTGTGCTATGACGTCGCCAATGACCCAAGTTGACATCACCTGGAGAGTGTGATGGTAGATCTGCCGGGGCGTTGTCAAGGAGTCGTGATAGTTCTCGATCGCCGAAAGCGACTCCACTTTCATGCAACCGATGCCAATAGAGTTTCGCGGCCTTTGTCATGTACGAGTAATGAGAGTATTCTGGCGGTGTCTTCGCTTTCCTGAGGACTTTGTACTGTACGCCAGGGACGCAGCTATGCGACAAATCTTTGACTTACCCAGGAATTAGATATTTTTGGCTTATAATTATATGTAGTAATTTTGACCTTGTTGAAGCTAAAACTAGGAAATAATATTCCTCGTCACTCAGGGAATCTACACCAAGATTTCTGGATGTATAAAAGTGCAGATATGTCAAATAAATGCTGTCCATTGCATGATAGCATATTTTTATAACTTACATGATGGCTATTACAAATTATTAATTTGAGAAAGAAAATATTAGCACTTAGTCCTTAAATCAATACAATCATGACGTAAATTTTGTGATATTGTAATTTGCTACATCATGAGCTCTTGAGCAAACCCTAGTAGTGGGGGAGTATATGTTTTTATTATACTAAAAAGCCGATTCAATTTATGTTATTTTATTTTTTCTCAATCTCACTTTACATTAAAATGTTTTGTATTTAATAAAACCTTGGCTTAAGGTTTAATTTTTTTTCTTATCACTATTTCACAAAAACAAAAAAACTGCTATTTGGTAGGCCTAAACAATAATAGAAAATAATTTGATTTGATCATTGACTGTGGATAAAAACACGACTATTTGAATAGGTACAACATTTGCTACATCAAATTCTTATAGATGGGATATCCACTATGTTGGCCAAAAGTCATAGGTTTTTGGTGTTTACTGTTTAGATAGTCGGAAGTGGCATCACACATGATATCTAGAAAGCACTGCCTCAACACAGACACACACGAGGTGGCTGTGGCAACGAAGGAAAGTATTTCCTATCGTTTCCACTCTTACTCTTAATTGTTGCATTTGTTGATGTCGCATTTCACGGCAGTCCGGGAGGTTACTTTGTACATGCGGAAGTGAAGATTACATTCTTCAAACATTCCTACCTCGAGAAAAGTAGTGTTGTGAAGTAACAATAAATAAAGAGCCGACATCAACACGTCTGAACGTTACCGAATGTCAAACCGAACTTGTCTTGAAAATGTCTTAATTTGACCCATAAGGAGAAAATCTACAAAGAGTGAGATTAATATGTATAGCCATAACAGTTTTATTTAAGGGTTAGTTCTTCGTTGTTGATATTTCCCCCTTGTTTTCAATTACAGGCTTCTCTCCACACAAAGAAATAAGTCTTTATTTTGGTCTTAAATATTTTATGTCAATGACGTATGGTTAAAATAAACAAAAGGTGGTATCAAATTAGTCGCCCATATAGCCATACTGTAGATCTTACATAGATTCCGTATCCTTTCGCATAAGAAAGGTGAAACATCAAATGTAACTAAACCCATACATTTCAGCCGCAATCTCTACCTTTCCTTACAATTTCATGAAATCCATGGATTAGTAATGGTGGGTTTACAGGTAACATCATAGATAAAACATACTCCCTTTTGTTGGTTAGTCTATGTTAAGACAAACTTACTAACAAATATTACTTTAGAATGCCTAAGTATTTTTTGCAGTACATGCACTCTCTTTCTCTTTAAAATAAAAGTAAATACAATGAAACTTGGGACACAGTACAAACCTGTAAAAATACCCCCAAAAAATAGCACACAAAATATAACATACTGTATGTTGATTATATGGAACTGTTAGGTACGTAACCATGAGTCGAGTCTTTTAAACTCATCGGAAATTATGACTTTTATTAGTTTTTAAATAACTACTTTACTTCTTTGCAGTTGCTCGATTTCGAGCAACATGTTCACTATTAGTCTATTTTATTTTATGACTAAGAGCAAACAGCCAAAATACATCCTCTCTAATCTAAGGTGTCAAACCTGTAGAGAAGTGAACGAACACACAAACCCATTTTACTCTCTAAGAGCAAACATCCACACATCCATAATCTAAGGTGTCAAGGGAGGGTAGCGGAGATCAGATAGTTTTTTTATCAGACTAATGCGCCTAATCCAAACCCCACGCAAGAGTTATTGCGTCCCAGGTAGATGTGGTTTTTGTTGCATTCTTGAGCAAATGAGGGTCGACCCTTGGACAGATTCCTGGCCGTCTCAAGGACGAGGGTAGAGGGTGAAGTGTCGAACCAGTAGGTGGAAGTCGGCGTGGGAGTCAGGTGAGTGGAGTACCGCAAGGGTCCATGATAGGGCCACAATTTTTTGTAATATAAGTAGTGTTGTTTGTTACTGTGACATTGATGGTTTTCAACATTGATGTTGAATAAACAATTTCGATTAATATGTAAGTGTGTAAAATGAGTCGGATTTAAAAAGTAATAGAACTTTTAAAGGAGCAAGAAAATAATTTGTGTTAAATAATATATGGAAACTAAAGAACTATTTTTTATTCAAATATGATCAAATAAATTTTCCAACAATTTTCGATGGAAAGTTAAGTTAGTGGCTATTAAAGTTATTCATTTATTTATTATTATTTTAGTAAAATTTACAGATTCTCATTAGAAACAAACACTAATATCATAAATTTAAAACAGAATGTACAAGGTTAAGTCATTTTTAGATTACGCCATTATATAATTATAAATTTAGAGATTTGGAGTACCTACTAAAAATAGATTTCTTATCCCACTGAATAATTTGAGGTGTGTGTTACACTTTACTACTTTATTTTGTCTATGTTAAATTATACATTGTGTGCTACAACCAAGGCCCCATCACTAGAAAAAAGGGGTTTTTTAGTTTTTCTAGTGGGGCCTTGGCTACAACTGTGTTGTGCTTTACCATAGATAAAACACACTCCCTTGGTTAGTCCATGGCTTTAATCTGTGGCACAAACAAAGGAATTCCAAAAATACAATGTGACAAGCAATACTGTAGTTTACAGACATATCGTTTTAGGTAATAAACGGTGTAGTCAAAGATAATACACATAGGCTAGATAAAAACATAATTGTGTTGGTTAGCCTACTTTGATAACACTGAACAGAAAAATAAGTATTTAAAATCTAAATAGAAGAATGTTTAGTGTATTATTTTCATGCACGATAAATACGTTGTTTATATTTTTGTATCTTCATAATTCCATGCAAATACTTTTTAAAGGATAGTAGTTCTCTTTTTACGTATAAATGATGATTTGGTTTTAGTACAAATTTTCTTTAGTACTAAAATGTTTTATTCTTTGAATGGTCTGAAGCATTGTACGATATTTGAATAAATCAATACATGCATCAATACAAGCAAATACATGGCCTTGAAATTTGTATATTTTTTATTATTTAGGATCTTATATTTGTATTTCACTATAACGTTTGTTTTAAACCTCCACATGAGCTAAAGACAAGGTTAAACATTAGGTAGTTAAGAATAACTTATTAATGTTGATCAATAATTTTGTGGAGCGGCTGGTCTGACTGTTTTCCTATTGCACATTGCCGAAGAAATTGTACATAGTCTACACACTACATGATCACCGTTTGGAATAACAAAACTTTGATGGGGTGCTCGGTGAGGACAGCGCCACCATCACTTTCCCACTTTATGGGTCATCAGGTATATATCCATGTATGCGCCGCGGCGCGCCCAGTCCTCCCGTGCGCGTCGTCTGCTACACAGTGCCTCACTATCACTATCACTGTAGTGCTAACTCACTAACTCACTAGTGCGATGCCGGTGTGATATACATGTGAGTATGGATGTAGTGGTCATACCAGTGCGTGGATAATTATGTGTTCATAAGTGGCGAATCGTTTGAAAAAATTATTTAATTATATTTTAAAATGTACTGTTTTTGATACGTTATATTTGTATTAGATGGTTGGAATGAGCAATGTGTATAGTTATTGAATCTAAATTAATTGTCTTTTTTAACCAATTTAATTTTAGTTAGTTTATGAATCCTGGTTTTGCAAATGCTTTATTCATATAAAGTTTTATATTTATTCAAACTGTATCTAGTTAAAATCAACCTTACGACTTTATTGAAAGTCTTCTAGAAAAGTAAAACTTATTAGGAAGTTCTATAAACTGTTGTAGGGAAGACCATAAAAGGCACTTCAATTACTGTAAGATCACAAATTTGAGCTCCACCTTTATAATTTTATAAAGAAAAAGTATAGAATAAGGTAGTTTTGCGAGTAAACAAATGGGAAATTAAAATAAAACCAAGCAGACTAGAGGCTACATTACTCCCGCAAACTACAGTTCAAGACATTTAAAATGTCTGTGGATAGCTGAAATAAAAATGACCAATAAAGCGTTAGTTATGAGACTAATAAACATAATAAATTAAAATATATTTTATATTTTAAAGTATGTCTAAGACAATGTTCAATTGCTATCAATAAGCATCTGTAATGTGTATATAAAGTTCATACAACCATATTATATATATATATTTTTAACATTCAACGTTCAATTTTGGTATACAGTACTAATTAACTCCTCCTTAGCAATTTTCACTTTTCGTGTCACATAATTTAACTACATACAAGTTAATTTAGCCAATTTTACTCGAAGAAAATTGCATAAACGCCAAAACCACCAAGCCACCCTTATGGATCTTAATCAGCCTCCCTACGTAAGCCAGTATATAAAACGTGCTTACATAAATCTATTTCAAAATTTCGACAGAGTTTCAATTGTGTGTTAACATGATTACTACTAGATTAAATAATCTTTCATAACCAAATTAACATTGACAGAAAAATATTTTCATGTCAAAATATTACATATAATTATCGTATTATGTGTTAACTATTCAATTTACACTAAAAACAGAATAGTTAAGACATTTAAAGGAGTAAAAACTAGTTCTTGTAAAATTAAATTACAGTACAAATCAATAACGTCTGTAACTTTAGCATAACTAAATGTTTATAAAACTTAATTCTTAATATTAATGAGTTTTGTTGATTATGCTTAAAATGGCAATGATGTTTGTAACTTCAAATATTATACTTCTGCATGTAGAATGTCCTTTCTTAATTTTGGGAGTTGTTTGAATAATAAGATATTTTTAAAATAACTAACTAACTATTGTACTAACTAACCGGGTTTTAGATGACTAGAGCGAACTATTCATCCCAACCTGATGACTTATTAGAGTAATTAAAAAAAACATAATTCGAGACAATTAAGCGTTATATGAAGTAAACTGAACATTAAAGCTGTAACTGATAATTTTACAAAACTATCCAATAAAACGAAACTCAATGTATTCATGGACTTTGGATAATACTTTGCGACTTCTTCTCCTAGTTTAAAATCTTATTTTGTCCGTATACTTTGTTTTTAAAACCCGGTAAGCAATAGTTTATAAGAGCTCGTCCCATTCGGTTTTAGTATTTATAAAGTTTGTATAATAACACTAAATAGATAGTAAATAATGCACCACAATCTAAATATACCTGTCTGAAACATACTTGAAAAATAATGATAAATATAAGTGGAGAATAATTAGTGTTCATGGTTTTAATATTTTTCCAAAAAGGTTTGCTTAGAAATATACTATTTAAATTTGTTTAAACATTCTTACCCTAAATATTTATTATAATTTCTTAGTATACACAGACATCTTACAAAATTCAATGGCTGACTATATACGTATACCTAGCCCCAGCGCTTCTGTCAAACCGATCGTTGAAGTCTATAATGTAATATTAATACGTTTACGAGTCCGGTATTGTGTATGGCATTTGTAAGCCTTAAAGGACTTTTCTTATCTCCGTTTTCGAACCCTGTCAATTACTAATAACTTTTAACTACACGATAATTTTGTAACCCAACGATTCTCAATTGACAGATAACTGTAGGTTCACCTACAGAAAACAAATAGGATACTTACCTCAGAGAAGTTTTATTTATGTTAACTAACTATTAAAATTGTTTCGTATTTAAATTATTTTTTTATTTTTTAACTTTAAAAAGTTAAGTAATCCTTTGTTATAGAATATATTTATTTCGAAAGTAAAACTATCAAACCGTGTTTTCACCTGAATTTACAGCACGTGTTTAAAAACTAGAGTTTACAACAATCCAATGAATAAAAGTTTTTCCTAAAAAAATTTGACGTTATTAACTATTTTTCAGTGATTAAAAACGAAATTCGGAAACGCAAGAAGTCGGAAACGTGTATATACGGCACTTGTTTGAAGTTGCATTTTTGTAATTTGTATACCGGAGTTTACAGTAAACTGGTGGAAAGTCTTGTTGTCAACAGTTGTAGTCAACTGACGATGAAAATTTACCAATTGTTGCTAACCAAATTGTAAACTCCTAAATGTAAATGCGGTGTAAGTTATCAACCACTGCATATGAGAGTTACTTACAAATTTGCATTTACTAGTTGGTGGTTGTTTATACTATGATAGTTTATAGAACGATTTCTTTTAAAAATTCTGCATTCTCACTCACACATCCAAACATTCTTTGTTGGTACATTTTTACTATGGGAATCGTTTATCGTGGTAGGGAACTCAACAAAAATAATTATACATTCAGTTGATCCTAGTATTTTACAAAGGTCCCCACAGAACATTTTTACATTTTTTAGTAGGCTATACTGTAGGACTGATAATAGTAAAATCCTACCTAGATTGGCATAGCATGGAAATTTAATACCGAGTAAAAAGCACGAATTACAACTCTTCTAATCTAGATTCAAGATTTAAAATAGTAATGAAACATTTCAATTCAAGAATAATAGTTATAAACTATCTATATCAGACTTGAATACACCATTGCATCATTAATACATTATTAGTTCCGAATGCAACTTTTTCGCGTAACAATAATACACGTACCACAACGTTTACGTCAAGAGAGCACAAATATGAAACTACTCTGTTGAAGCCATAGACATAAAGACATATGGCAGGTTTGAACTGTGGTCGGTGTGTGGGTATATTGACGGTTTGTTATGCAGTGGTACTGTATGTACAAAGGAGGAGAAATCTACATCTGCGGTCTACCTAGACACTCAAACACACACTAATACACACACACACACCACACACTCATTCACGTGATTGTCGAGTCTTTCTCTCATTTCGCTCAAGACGTCAACTAACAAGTCACAAAGAGATCGTGAGTGTTGGCAATTTTCTTCCAATACCCTAGCTACCATCGAACATTCATAATGGGTCCACAGAAAGTGGCTGGATTAATCGTGGGGCGAAAAGATAATTCTACAGCGTTCGTTCTTCTATTGGTTATACAGCCTTCTGTAAGGTTCGGCCGACACCAGAATCCCCTACTTCTTGTTATTGGTGATGAGAAACAAAAAAGTGCTAAAAGTTTTAGAAAAAAATTTTGTGGGAGATTTGGAAACGATTTGGTAAATTTGTTGTCGTAAAGATGCATATTTTAAGACGTGTTATGAACACGATTCGCACATACTAAGGTATACACATACAACATCAATTTCACTTTTCGGGCTAACGATTTAGTAGAAAACTCATTTTTATTTTATTTAATTTATTAGGCCTATATTATTTTTAGAGCCATGTAAAGTCATTTGACACAAAGATGTTCAATACATTGATGTCAGTAACGTGGTTTATACCTATGTATTGTCTTTTATTTTTATTTAATTTATATTCACTCAGTTATGAAAGTTCTTAGTCTTGGGTAACAGTTTGAAAAAACAATGAAATGTATCGTTTAAATTTGGCCGGCCAAAAAATTTTTACTTATTCTATAGAAATTAACAACAGAACAAATTGTTGGTGGTTTAATTCACTACGTCTATTTTATTAAAACGTTTTTATTAGCTCGCTTTCTTGTCCGGTAAAAATTTTTCAATCAATTTTATACTAACTTCCCAATGAGCTAGAGACTTGAAATTTGAAACATAGCTCACAAATGGATGACAATGCAATATTATATCATTTTATGTTCATATTTCCCTTAGGCTACACCCCATGGGCTTGTTTTTAATAGCTCGCTTTCTTACACGTTTTGATATCAATTTTAAACGAAGTCCCCGATGAGCTAGAGACTTGAAACTTGAAACATAGCTCACAAATGGATGACAATGCAATATTATATCATTTAATTTTCATATTTCCCTTGGGCTTCCAAATTTTCCATGTTTACATTTTGAAAGAATGTAAATATATAAATTAATTTAAGTCAGCTGTAAATACTTAAATTTGACAGTTAGAAGAGCAGTGGTTAAGAGGTACAGGTTCTGCTCCCGAGATATTCTAAAAATATAAAACAATCATTTCAAAGTAAAGATAAAACACCTGATTACATATATAGATTTAACACATTTACACATTAAAGACTAAAAATTAGAAAATAAATTATAAATAAAAAAAACTTTTTTAAAACAAAACGTTTTTAAACGCACTAAAAAGTAGAAAATAAGTTATAAATATGTGGTGAGTACAAATACTTGTATGATTTAAAATTAAAAAACGTGGGGTGCATGCAATTGATAATAACACATTAGTTCAATAGGTGAAGGTATTTTAAATCATCTATTGCATGCACCCCACGTTTATCGTTTTAAATCTTACAAGTATTTATACTCTCCACATATTTATAAACTATTTTCTACTTTTTAGTGCGTTTAAAAAAGTTTTGTTTTAAAAAAGTTTGTTATTTTTAATTATTTTATTCTAAAACTGCCTACAGCTTTAACATGACAACAGGTCAACTGATGTTTAATGTATTGCTGTATCTTGTTGCAGGTGCTGCAGACGATGAGAGTGAACCATGACCTCAGCAACATCACGATACTTTCCGTTTGAGGTAGGATTCTACGTTGTTCTCTATAAGATACTTTGAAGGGCTTAGCAGAGCCGACGAAAGGAAAAAATGTTAGTAATTTAATGTCAAGTTTTAATTACAACAATACCATTAATATTTAGGAAATCATCAGTTTAATTATCAGCTGTTCTGTTTAATGCGATGCATTAATCACTGTACCTCAAAGTGTAGTGTTAAACCATTGACTATTGGTTAATAGTCTAAGGTTAAACTCATTCTCTGTGACTGCACCACGATGTCCTTAACTTTTTCATCAAAATAACAAAATAACCATTACAGAATATTTTTTTGCCAAAGTTAATATCAGATAAAAAGTGGCTCACATCAATTGTTTTATTCTACTTTCGCCACATATTTTAGTCATGTTTCAGCCAAACTACATGTGCCTCCTCCCGTAATTAGTGTGCGAAATAAACAAATAACTGTGAATAGTGTTTTATATTATATTAGGTTTAAAGGGCATTACCAACCTCTAATCTTGTTAATGTTAAATTTGAGGTACAGTATTCTTAATTTATTCCCTCCTTTAAGAAACCTTTCGAAAACTCTCGTCGACTGATGTTAGATTAGCAAATCGAATTGAAAGGTAGTTCCATATGTTCCTTATCGAGATGACGCGTAACGACCCGTAGAACAGTGGAGATTCGACCACTGATAACTCGACAGATGATAACAAGCCATGTAGACCGTGGCGCTGCGGACGGACGGACCAATAATTCCGGAATTGAGGGCCATTATGGGACAATGGCGATAGGGCATCGATATATAACTACTACTGGATCGCTGGCTGAGCACTCTAGCCCGAGCCGAAGTCAGTGGTTGCGTTCTGCCCTTGAAGGCGTCGGGTAGGGGCAAGAAACCAGCACGGTGCTTGCGTTTTACAGCGAACTGTCGCTGTGATAGCATTTGTATACCATATTTTAACTATTGATTCACGACAAATGTTCATCGGGGGATATTTTGACTCACTCATCTTGTTATATTAAAAACTGAAAGTATATAAGTTAGTAATCAATTTAATTGCTATACAATACAACGTGTATTAACATTGTTATAAAGACTATGAAGTAGGGCGACAACTAGTATTTGTATGAAATAAATGCTTGGATGGTTTGGGTTATGGGTTTTTAAAAAGGTTGATAAAATAAACAATAAAAATGCACAGTAAAATTGTATAAAAACCATTTATTTGAATACAGTACCACACAGAGTAGCCTACATTTCACGCATGATTAAAAAGAACTAGTTTTGTTAGCTTTTGGCGAATGCCAACTTTTGACAGAGCAATGGTTTGCTCTTTAGCATGACTGTAGCCAATTATTTTAAAAAACAAATTTCCGATTAACTTTATTAGCTTAATTTCGTGTGTGTCCTCTCCAAAGTCAACGTTAGACACATGCGATTTGAACACATTCCCAACTAAAGTTCTACAAGATTCCAAAACAATTTTGTGTGTGTTTAGTTTGGTTCGATTATTTTTAGAAGAAGTATATTTATTGTTCATGACTTTAACCACATGGTAAACATCTGAGGATGCTCTCACTAATTTTCCTCTTGAAACAAAATCTGTAAAATGGGTGTAGCTACTTAAATTACATTCGTCAGCTGTCAAAAGACTAACACATTCTTCACATGTTACTGTACCTAATATTTTTCTAACAATAAAACCACACATATAATATAACACATTATTCTTGTAGTATGATCCAGTTTCTGCAGATACCTCTCTTTGAAAGTCAATTACATTGTCTTCTTCACAGTCATCAATATCGCAATTAACAATTGCCTTTGTCTCAGCAAAGCTTATCACTGAACTTTGGATTGTTCCATCATATTGTAAACAATTTCCTAAGTTTGATGACCGCACACTGTTCCTGAACATAAGTTTTCTCAAGGCTAGTTGGAATTGTTTTACATTTGGGTTATTATTATGCCCTCCTCGAGACCTAATACATGAGAACAACAATTCCAAATGGTCTTGAGAAAACTTGTAAGTTAAGATGTACTTAAATTGCAAATCATCTAACATTGTTTTGGACAAATGCTTAATCGAAAATATGTTTGTCATAAAACCAAGGGCAAAGGTTTTTCTTGGATGTTGTAGAACAGGAATATTTTCTATAGTCAAACCTTTTAGGTATTCTAAACATTCTTCTAACATTTTTGAGTTACGTGCCAAATTATCTTTTTTGATTGGTTCTTTCAAATGTTTGCCATAGGGATCCCGACTATTAAAATAATCAAACAATTGATTAAAAACCCTTATATATTTGACTGTTTCCTCTGCACCTATAAATTCAGGAACTTGTTTGGTCATCAAAAATTCTATTGCATCGGCAACTCCCAAGCTTAAAGTTTGGGCAGCAAGTTTCACATTCATTTTGTTGTTTTGATAACATACATGTTTATCAGATAAATTGTTAGCAAATTTAACCTCTTCCTTTTTCTGCAGATTGTTCAAATTTCGTATATACTTAAAATCCACCACCCCATCTTTACTACTTAAAGTCCCTTTATCGGCCAAAGTATTACGTGCCAATTTAAGCATGTGGCATGCATCTAGCATGACACAAACCTTCAGCTCAACATTCTGAACCCTCACATTGAAAAAAGGCTGCTCAGGTAGCTTACAGCCAAGTTTCTTTACAGAGTTAATGTTTGTGGTTGTGCCATCAAACGTCACGTTAAGCACACTTACTCCTGATTCATAGAGCTTGACTATGCAAATTTGTATTAGTTTTGATAACGCTTCTGAATCTATTTTATCAATAAAAAAATACGCAACTGCACATTTAAAATTCCCCTTAAGTGTAACAATTTGAAACACTAAAGCCTCACTTGCTAACGTTTCATTTTGGTCCAATTGCATGCCATTACCTAAACTAACATAACCTGTATTTATGCCTTGCTTGTGGTCATAGATAACCTGTTTGCGTATGCTCATTGAATCAAAAACTAAATTTACATGTTTTAAGTGGGGTTGTTTTTCGACATTTTCTTTTAAGTATGTAAAAACTTCTTCTATGAACCCTGGGCAACAATTGAACGAAGACAGCCATTTCCTTATAGTTGAAGGATTGGGTAAAATGAAGTTGTTACTTCTCAGGTACTTGTATGCCTTAGGACTATAAAAATATACAGTGAGTGCAAATTCCTTCATTTTCTCTGAATAAACTGTCCTGAATTTACTAAGGTTACTATTTTTCATAGAATGTACAACTAAATCTAATGGAAATCCTGAAAACTTTTCCTCTAAAACCTCTATTAACCTATCAGGTGCTTTAAGTTTTTTCTTAAATACTAAAATCATATCACGCATGGATTTTATCCTATCATCTCTTCTCTTTAGCCGCTGTTGAAGAATTTTGATCTTCCGTCTCAGAAGAGCTTTTGTTGGTGACCACACTGGCTTCTAAAACGAATAGAAAGGAAATAATATTTACCCTAATGTTATTTACTTTTGAGCTCTGTACTGGCCAGATAAAAAGTTTTAGAAATAGTTTTTAACTACACGAATTATGGCTGAAAACTGGATCATAGAATAATGATAGATTGATACAGCTTTTAAAATTACTTGAAAGCTAACATGCCACCGTTTTTTGGAAGCTCATTAACGACATTAGTTACCAATTCGTCATAGTGCTCTTATGTTTTTAGAGCAACGACATAAACATAGATAAAACTTACTATAGGCTAAGCCGTAATATTAAAACATGGACAAAAATAAATATAGCATTTTCTTTAGTTTGAAAATGTAACGAAATAATGAAATGTCCTTTAACTTACGGGGTTTGGCGCTGTTGTTGATTGCTTAGGAGCTGCGCATGGTGATGTTGATGAATTGGTGACTGGGTGTACAATCTGAATCAAAAAATACAATCAATTTTTAGGTTTAAACTATGTTTGATCATGAAGTATCATATCTAGCCGTTTAGAAATGGCTCGCATTAATAATAAATTCCCCATTTTCTAACTAAACAAATAAGTTCATGCAATGCTAAACATTATACTAGAATGAAATAAATTGTTACAATAATATGCCTACATTATACAGGGTAAGTATAAATACATACCGGGGGAGTTGATGGCCGAGTTTCAATTTGAAGATCTTGTTCTTCATGCTGTTCAACTTGCTGCTCTTCATTATGCTAAAAAGATAAATAAATAAAAGTATATGGTTTTTTTATGTTGGAGATAGGAGGCAGGATTTTGTTTTAGTAGAACGATAATTTATTATTAGAAGTTCCATTAGATTAGTTACAAAAATAGTTCCAAATATAAATTTACAACAGTTGTGCCCACAAAAAAATTGGCTAGTCTAAATAGTAATAAGAAATTTCCAAAACACTTTGACAAAGGTATGATGGCGTTCATTCATGTAGGCCTTTTTAGACACTATTGATTTGAACAATTTATTTTGTGATAAATTCAATAAATACGTTTACTATTAGATTTAATTTACTGCAATAAAAAGTTAAATTTATCCATTTTCAGATGAAATTTGCAACTTGCAAGAACTTTAATAAAAAACTCACTTGTTGAAAAAGGTTCCTCTTAACAATCCTCCTTTTTTTATCTGGTTGTTGTTGCATGTGAGCCGGAAAATCAAAAACCGATGGAACTGCATCATTTTTCAGGGTTTTCTTGATCGTGTTGGGCAGTATTAAATGAAAATCATCTCTGGTAAAATGCTTGCTGCATAACAAACTGTATCTTGAAGGTTTGAAATTCTTTCTCTTTGTCGCTGCTATCCATTTTTTAAGAAGCTGGTCGTTATTCAAGGGGAATCTATAACATGAAAAAAAAAACAACAATTTAATCCTATGCTGGAAACGTAATCTACAATGAACATAACTGTGTGAAATCATTACCTTACACGAATGTTTTGTTGAATATTACTTATATTTCAGTGCTATTCCATGTTTATCTTTATAAATAATAGGATAAAATAATAAATATAGGATAAATTATAATAAAAAATA